GTAATGCTCGGTCGTTGTTCGATGAGCAGAACCAATTGTGAGTGGCGTGAACTTAATTTTTGTTTTGGAAACTTCATGAGACATCATTTCTAGACCAGCAACGTCAACGAATCCTTTCCCCTTATTCGACTCATCCATTCAACCGCAATTTACTCAGTTACAACCTCAATACACGATGGTCCCACAATTTACGTCTTTCAACCCATATCAGCAGCAAGCTGAACAGGAAGCCATGCAGGTGCGCCACATGGATCGTTCATTAAATTTCTTTTTTCTGACACAAAAATTATAGGCAGCATACCTTGCGCAGCAACAAGAATGGATGCGACAACAGCAAGAAGCTCAAGCTCAAGCTCAGGCGCAGGCCCAAGCCCAAGCCCAACAAGAGGAATGGAATCGACAGCAGCAATTGTTGTTATACCAACAGCAACAAGCACAATTTGCTGCGCAACAGCAGCCAATACCCGTGCAACCGACAGGATTCGGGTTCGTTTTCAAAAGTAAACTATTGTCAGAAATATTCTCAGGCTTCATTGTTTTTAGATCTAATAATCCATTCGCGCCTGCTTCACCTGCACAATCACCACAGCCATCCGTTTCGACGCCACTGTCCTCGTTTTCTTTGCCGTCTACATTCTCGCAGTCACATTCACCTGCGCCGCCTGTCTCGTCAACACCATCTACGAGTTCGGTTGCGTCTTCTTCCGCTCAAAATTCGCAAAGCCGGCCAACGAAGGCAGACGAGCAGCATGCGCACCTTGCTAATCTCTTTGCGAACCGCGAGGACGGGTTGGATACGTTTGGGAATATCGGACAGCTGCGGTATGTGTCTCTCCCATGGCGCCATTTCTGCGGACACGTATTGACTGCCGCGTGTTTCTTAGGTATGGCCACACAGACGCGGGCAGGGTCGTTGCTCAGAAAACCGGTCACAATCCATTTGCACACCACCAGCAGCCACAACAGAGTAGCGAGCAGCCGTTCTTCTCTATCTGATCTTATACTGATGATGTACATGCTAATTGCTACCAATTCATGTCCCCGTTCAGCGTTTCTGGAAATCACATATTACCGTTTCTTGATTATAATAATGTACTCATGGACAGATCACAGGCATGGACATGCAAGCGGGTACACCATGTATTTATAACTGCTAAGCCTAAGTTACACTCTTCAACGGTGAAGCCAGAAGGTCTCCAGAAAATATGAATATTCCCGTGATGAATGAAATTTTTTCGACCATCGAATGTAACATTAGCGACTTTCAGGACAGTACTGATCACACTCATCATTCATGTTTAAAATTCTTCTGATTCGGATTTTTTTCAATAGCACGATATTGCTCAATTATTTCTGTTCCGAGTCTGTTTCAATCAACGGTAAAATTCAGCCTTCTGCCGTAATTTCAGGCAAGAATATCATGGCACGTGGAAGTTTTCGGCGCTTTGTTTTTGATATATGCGTGAATTCGGATGCGGTCCATCGTGCGCCATACCCGGCGGTTATCTTTATACAGCACCACAACAATCTCAGTGCACATTCGAACGCAACCTGATAAACGATGAAATTGTCAACAATTTTCGGTTTATTCGGCCAACTGAGGTTCGCAATCCAGGTCTCTACTATTCCCACCTTGAGGGTCGTCTTCCGCGAACCTTCTCTGCTCCTACGCCCCCGCACCATTTCTCGCCTCTTCATGGCGAAAGCCTGGGAGAGCTTCGGCCATTTTTGTGATATGAATGGCCGGGCTGACAAGGAGGCACTCCTCACCCCCAATGCTTACGGTGTTGTCCTGGACCTTGGAGCAGGTGTGTACCTCCGAATGTTTTGCCCATTTGTGTTCAACGTCACGGTGACTCGTGAATTTTCTCAGGCCACGGACATACTGTGAATTACCTCGACCACTCACGCGTATCAAAATATATCGCCTTGGAGCCAAACACCTTTATGCATGAGCATATTCGCAAAATGGCGGAAGCGGCTGGATATTCGGAGGAGGCAGGATCCCTCGTCATACTGTCATGTGGTGCCGAAGACATCCCTACGATCATCAGGGAAACCGGCCGCCACGGCGTTGACTCTCTCGTTTCGGTCCTCACGCTCTGCTCTGTCCCCGATCCCGCCATAACAATCCATGATCTCGTCGAAAAAATTCTGAAACCGGGTGGCAAATTCCTTTTCTACGAGCATGTGCGCAGCCCGCAAAAGGATGTCGTATGGCTGCAAAACATCTGGTCACCGATTTGGTCAACATTTTTTGATGGATGTTCTCTGGGTCGTGATACAGTGAAGTACATAAACGATGCGGGACGGTGGAGCATGAAGGATACAGTTGAGAAGGTAGACGAAGATCCAGAGAATTTGTTTTGGCATGAGGCGGGGAAATATGTGAAGGCCGAAGGTGAAGAACCGCAAGTTGTTTTAATTTAATATTCATGCGCGCCCACTGGAATTGTTCTGTGTATGAAACGCCAATTTTTCGAATTAAGATATAAGCCATGTATCCTGGGAGATTGTGAGCCATAGGGAGTGTTTTGGTCACCATTCTAACACGTATGAGCTCGCCCCAGCCCCGAAGCTGCAGAGTGTGGCGCAATTTCAAACTCCGCGAAGCTTCGTCTGAATACCCTCCTTTTAACAATACCCCGAATAATGTCGAGCACAAATATTGTGAGAGGAGTAAGAATTCCAGTCGACTTTCATGTTTAGTGGCATGAGCGGCGGGAGACTCGGATGTAAATTGACTGGCTGTATGCCAGTGCAAGTTATTTGCAACGTCTCATTAATTTCCTACAAGCGAGTACAACACCTAACGCATCACATGCACCCTCTTTTTCTCATCCCTGCTTACAATTATTTAGTATTTGACATTTTAGTCACTTATTCATCCCACAAAACGAGTCCTAGACTGGATTGATGAATAATCAAATGATATCAGAGTTCTAGAAGTCAATTGCACGAACCGGCAACGAAATTGTACACATTCAACCAGTCTTGGCTTTCAATTCTCGCCATAACGTGGTGAACAGCAACCCACCGATGCCGATAAGAGCGACTTCCAGACCAATGTAGTTACGCATGCCAACGTGCACTCCGCTACCTCCCCACACCGACCCGGCGACTCTCCCGGTGAAATTGCTGTACTGAATGGCTATGAATGTTATAAAGTGAAAAACTCAACCAACAAAGAATAGTTCGGGAGTTTAGAAATACAGACCAAGTGAAGAACGTGCATTCCACGAAGGTGGGAGCTGCTTGCTCAGAAGACTTAGCGTGCAGGTAGTAGCGAGGTTGAAACCGAGTGCGACGAGGAACCAACAGATAAACAATCCAGCATAGTGAACTTTCACCATGTGTCCTCTGAACAAAATAAGTGCTAATATTAGGCCAGCTAATCCCAATCCTGTACCCAGCGCAAGGATAGAGCGGTCTTGCGTTCGCCGAGCTGCGAAGAGGTTTAGGAGGAGAAATGGGATGGTCGCAGCACCTCCGAGTGCAAGGAAGTTGCCGGCTGCATAAGGGGACCAGTGAAGAGATGAGAGCATAGAGGAGCCATACACAGGTATATTCGCCTCCCAAGCTCCAAGGATAAAGAAACAGGACATGGCGAACCAGCACATGCAAAATATGACACCACGTTGCTGTGGAGTTGTGCGAAACGGTTCAAGTTCAAATGGAGGCGGCGGGGGAGATGTGGAAGATGTGGGAGATTGAAGTGGTGGAGGGTCAGGACGCGAAGAATACTCCTTGGGTTGTTTCGACAGATCTGCTGCAGGTATCATGATGTTGATAGATGGCAACTCGATAGCTTCGTGCCTCGGTGAGTCTGGCACATCTTCGAATAAAATTGTGGCCGCAATCCAAAACGCGATCCATACGCCAGCCATGATCCACCCTGGCGCTGAATAACCATTGAACACTGAATTCTTGAATCCGACCTTGTATAGAAGGCCACCGAAAAACGGTCCTGCAGACATACCGATTCCCTGACCAAGAACAAGGTATCCAGCGAGCGTCGTACGACGGCGAATACCCACAATACGGGTATCAGAGCAGTACCGCTTGGTATACATGGAAAAGGCGAACCCAACGCCTTGTACCATCCGTCCCAGGAGGATGAGATACAAGAAATTTGCATGGTATGCAAGTCCGTATAGGACGTGTCCGAGAACCATGAATCCGCAACAAACATGGAGAGGTCTGCCGTATTTTCCTGCCGATTGAATGGATTTTGTTAGCCAGCTTATCGAAGTTAACTTATAAGCGATGAACAACCTTGATCGTATTTCATCAGAGGTATCAAGGCCACACCCGAAATTGATAATGGCACACCGATTACGAGACCAGAAAAGGTCGATGAACCGCCCAAATGCTTCGCATATGCACTGGAGGATGACACGATGATGAAGAGCGTGATCTGAATGATGACTTGAACCGTGTTCAATGCAAGGACCATGAGTCTGACGTACTTGAATTAAGGCATTGAAGAGTAATATGATAGCCAGCGATGATCGCCTCGGTAGGTGGTGTTCAATGTCTAACATAGAGTACAGTATGTTGAACGTCCAGCCAAGGAACAATTGCCAGCATGGTAAGCGCCCGAATGACTCGCCTTTCGATGGCGGAGGATGACTCGGACATTTTGGCAGCGTACTAGGCTCGTGACCAGCTCTGGCTACTTTGACCTTGGGACACTCCTGCCGGAGGCTGTGCTGGGTAGTCAGACTGGTTACGAGTCTAGCAGCGTACAAGATTTCAAGATGCTGTGTTTTCGTCAACAATCTCCGAAAAGCCGACAGCCATTGTGCGGTGCCTCCGAAGTATTTTGGTTGAAAATAGTTTGCTCATTCTCGGGCAATGTCCGAACGTCATCAGGTTCTTCAAAATAAAAAGCAAAATCAGTACACAATGAATACACTGGGTGACCTATTCCGTGGATTGTGCGAAGTGTCAAAACATAATCGATGCAGTTAAAATAAAATAAATTACGGTGGAAGAGATACACTGAGAGGGAATTGAACCCCCGACGCTTGCTTGGAAGGCAAGCATGTTAACCACTACACCATCAGTGTCACATTATCTCGGAAGATGCAGGCACATACAAAGGCAATTTGCGTTGAACGTTGAACTCATACGCTGACTTTTAGTCAGACGACTTGCATTGTTCCCGTCAACCTCCTTCTTCATTGCCGCGTCGGAAATGCGCAACCCTCTGACGATAAAGTCGTCGATATCCAATCGTAAATTGATATATATATCTATCTGATGATGCTTTTATCACACAACTAACTGCTAACCGCGCAGGCAACGCGAAAAAGCCTCCGCAGAAACGACGCCGGCTTTCAACGACGTCAAGCACTACATCCACGGCCACCACTTCTACGCTGCTTTCGCCTCTCACGAACTTCAGTGACGTGTCTTTATGGAATACCACCCGTTCTACCACACCGCAAGGCCATTTGTCGTGTACCTCATGCCGACGAGCGATAACCGCTAACAGCGAAGCCAAGCCTGGTAATCTTGTGGTCTGTCCACGGTGAGTTTCTCGCCCCCCAAAGCTCTTGTTTTCATCGCGACTCCCTGTCCTGATTATTTGCGATTTTTTTCTACCCGCAATTTGGTGGCTGAAAAAGGTGTCACGCAACAAGCTGCATCATCTGCTCACGCGTTTGCTCCGCCGCGCCTCCGTCACTTCCGCCGACGCCGCTTCTCAGCTACTCGCCAACACCTCCCGCAACTCCTCTTGTCCTCGCCTCACCTACTAGACACGTGTCGCAGCTTCTCGGCGACGTACCAACGCCACGAGCCACACGGACCACACGCGCCGGAACCAGGAGGAAAGAGCGCGAGGGCGAAGACAATTTTGAGTGTGATGAGAATGAATCTGGGTTCCTGGATGTTGAGAGTGGTGAAGGGTTGAGTGAAAAGGGTAAATATGTATCTGGGTGCGGACGCACGCTATGCCGCGATTGTTGCATTGAAAACACCCAAAGGTGAGCGTAATTCTTCCATTCTCATAGGGTATGTTGTAACATATTTTCACAGCAGCATTACGACGTGTTACGACTGCTACGGCATCCCACCAATTTCTGCAGACTGCGAATCGACATTTACGTCCAACTCGTCGACCCTGTCACTCCTCATCTGAAAGTACGGCAGTCGATGCATGCCATTGACATCGGGTTTGTGTTAGGTTACACTCATCCACGGATCATTTAATTGCGCTCACTCATCCGCATACAAATTAAAGTACTGTACCCTCAAATTCCACACTTGCATGCGTTTTGTGCACTTCACGCTTCTCTCATTAGACATTTGTACACACTACACGATCCACACTTCACGTACATATTTTCACAAGTATCAGTGTTCTTATATCATGTCTAATACGCATTTCTAATACGACTTCCGCATGCTGTTGTCGGCGTTCCACCGAACATCATGTGCTTGGTGGGTAATTGATGTCGGTAGCATGGTAACCAGTTACTTACCCCAAATATTTCATATCATCTGCTTGCTTTCACTTCGGAGGGTCGAGGAACTGCGCAATTTTCCAAAGGAGGGGAAATTGCGCGCTGAGGAAGAACTTTACGCCCTGCATGTGTAAGTTCTGGACTGTACCTCAAATGATCGGCCGCTGCCCGTGTAACGCATACACAATATCATGTCGAACAGATGGCACGGCACGCATAAGAGCTCCGCAGCCTGGGTGCTGTCATATTTTTCTAAGTTTCATGGAACGCGATTCATGGTAAATTATGTGGAAAGTTGGAAACACACCGACCGTGACTCATAGCGTGATAAATTTAGGTGGTAAGTCTAACACCAAGGTGCCAAGGTGCAGGCGTTCGAGCTAGTTTCCTGAAACCCATAGTTCCAACGGACCTATGGCATTTTCTTATGTCGCCGATTATTTGAGGCAGTTCCCATTCGCCACAGTCGCGTGGACGGCACGTGGACGGCGACCAGAACCGTCTGGTTCCTGTCGATCTTCTTCCTCTCCTCCCATGTATCAACATTCAGGATTCTGCTGACTTTGCTCAAGTTCTCTCCTAGTGCCCAGAAATACGTGGCTAAACAGGCCTCACACCAAGACCTTGGCGACAAGGACATCTAGTTCGCGAATAGCTTCAGCCTGAGCAGCGCCGACCAAGTCAGAACTGATGGAATATCTTAAAATACGTCGGCCCAAAAGACTCACTATCCCGAGCGACGCCCAAGAAACGTGTCGTTTCCACTTCGGTCGGCCTCGTACGGGCATCGACGGTGATCGACCACCGAGGAGTCGTTGTTTACTCACTCCGACCGTTAAACACGAACGTCGCGCGTAGCCGACATCAGCTCACAAAGTCATCCCCATGAATTTTTTGCGAAAAAAATCCCATTTGAAGTGAGTTTGTGTGGTCATCTATACCAATGAAATTATGATTTCGTATTTCAATACACAACAGCCTTTTGCACACACTTCAGGAAGTAACTTGAATGGCATTTGGCACAAACCGTTAGATATGTGTGGTGCCGTGAATATTACATCATGACTCCATTCGGTCATTCACCGCTTTTGGCTGGGGGCGTCTCCATCATCCATTGGTGCATTTGATACAAGAACTTGCGGCGCCGAGTCGGCCTGGCGGAGCAATAATCGCACGAAGGGATTTGTTGTCCGGGATGGCGTGTACTGTCTCACCTATAAATTGAGAGCACTCCGTATGAACGGCAGAAATACGAGAAACGATAAACGCCCTCTGAATTTTCAACCTACCAAAAGATGTTCGGAACTCATATCATCGCATTAATGGCAGTGGCCGTGTTTGCTCGAGCACGACCGGTACGTATTTGAATCTATGCCATGCAACTAATTGATCTTATTATTATTTCTTGTCACCGCATAGCTGTCAAGCGCGACCCCACATTCGTTTAATACACATGGATTCATCACACAGTCAAGCCATGTTGATAGTCAGCCTAGCACCACAGATGTCGTCTTCAGCACCCAATCTAGTTTCACCACCAGCACACCTGTCACGACGTTCAGTTCTTTGAGCGCGGTCAGCACGGGAGGTCCAGTCACTGCTTCAACCTTTAGCACTGAAGCACCAAGCACCTCGGTTGGCACAGGAGGGGAGTGGGTTTATTTTACCTTTTCCAGCTATATCGCCAAAGCAGCCAGCACGTCATTCGGCACTGGGGGACCAGTCACCCAATCTACTTTTAGCGCCGAAGGACCGACCACATCTACCAGTTCGATCCGTCCAGTGAGCACGGGAGGACCCGTCACCCGGTCCAGTTTTACCTCCCAAGGACCAATCACGTCTGACAGTTCGATCCGTTCGGCGAGCACGGGTGGTCCCGTCACCCGGTCCAGTTTTACTTCACAAGGACCGACCACGTCTGACAGTTCGATCCGTTCAGTGAGCACGAGCGGGCCAGTCACTCAGTCCAGTTCTACCTCCCAAGGACCAACCACGTCTGACAGTTCGATCCGTTCAGTGAGCATGGGGGGACCTGTCACAGAATACAGCTTTAGCACGGAAGTGCCAGTCACCTTGTCAAGCATGGGAGGACCCATCACGGTGTAGAGCTTCAGCACGTTCGGGCTGACGAATCCCACTCCTTCCGCGACTACCTAATTTCTCCCCGGTCGTTCCTCCGTCGCGCGCGGTTTGCGTATATCCAATAACATTATCACCCATTTCATCCACCTTTTCGAGATTTTGACATGAGCTGCAGGAGCGGAAAGAACAAGCGGTGTCTTTGCAACCATTACAACCACGTCATTTACTTTGAGGACATTTCGAATAGAATACTGTTTGACGTCAAGGCGGCTGTGCAATTTCAAAATGTTTCCAGCTGAGTTGCCCTCGACCATCATACATTACGTGAGAGTGGGTTGATTAACCAAGTAAAATTGTTGATAGATTTTACGATGTTATTGGCGTCGACTTTGCTTCGTTTTCCACACTATTTCATCGTTGAGCCAAAACTGCACAATGAAGATTTCCGCGAGAGTAATGATTCCTCCAGAATATCCTGCACATGCACCGCACCGCGGAGAAAATCTAATCACTATGAATAACCTTGAGACCTGGATGCGCCCAACTTTGGTAGGTGGTTGCTCCGCCGCCTTGGGTTGGTCGACAATTTCATGTTGAGGCCATGTTTGGGTGCAGAACATCAGCTAGATCCTGTCTTGGCAAAGGATAATATGCATATGGTTAGAGACGGAGTTTGTTTTAAGTGAGATCGCATTCCACCAAAGGACACCTGTTTCTCTTCAGCTTTCGATGAGGTTTAAGATTACGAGCTCCTCGGTGGCCTTCGGTGGGTTACCGCTAGCAAAGACTAGCCTCACTACCACCATGATGCAGGTGCTTGCTGTTTCCCCCACCGTTATGCCAGAACTTTAACGGTTGTTATCGGACAATAAAGCACGATTTCGTTTTGGAACATCATTACCGACTCTTGATTAAGCCACAGTCCACCACTCACTGTGCCCATGCGAAACTTTCGTAGCCCTGCACTGCCACCTACACTGGCGCGTGGTCAGTGGTACCTGTCGATCTTTTGTTACCCTCCTTCCACCATGCTCGTTTGTCAGGATGCCGCAGCTGCAGGCTACTATATACCAAAGTTCTTTTCCAATGCCTAGAAATAACTGGCTGAAAGGGCCTCACACCGCGACATCACTTCCAAGCACATCTTGCAGTGGTTCGCGAATGACACGGACTATGCAGTGAAGTCCGTATTGATCGACACGCTGACAATACTTCGGCCATGCCCCGAATTTCAAGAACCCTCAGCCCCGTGCGACGACGTTGAACGTGATATGTTGCGTTTAGACCGGCCTCGTACGGCCATCGGGTGCTGGAGATGTCGCTGTTTACTCACACCCACCGTCGGATGCCTTGCACGGCGATTGAACTGGAACATCCTGCGAGGTTATCGGCTCACATTGTCATCCCCGTGAATTTGTGCCACAGAGACCTTTTGGAGTGAGTCCATTTCATAAATTATACCAATAAAATTATAATTTTGTATTTCAACGTTCAGCGGCCAATACGCATACCTTCAG